GATAGCATGTACCGGTGTCAGTAACACAATGTTGCACAGATGCCACTAACATTATAAACGTCAGATGAAGTCAGAAAGCCGACGTCCGTGAGAGGCAAAGTTATCGCAAAGGTCTGTGACTGAAGCTTGTTCGGAATTTGTAGGACAATCACCCAGGCATCGCCCGCACACAATGTGGCCTAGCGTAACTGAGAGGAAATGTACGGAGAAGACAGATTTCGCCCCTCACCCTCCCGCTTCAGAGCGTGCCATTCTGACCAGCTCTTCAGAGCGCGTGGTAAGACACAAAGGTAACATTCACCTCATGCGAAGTGAGTGTGTAACCGTGCGGCGGCCTGACACTCAGAGGTTGCGCGTGATAACCCCGATGGCCATGGCATTGACATCCACCCAAACCGTGATGAAATCACTTTAATCCGAATTCCACCTTGCCAACTACTTACGTTTCATGAGGAATGCATTTTTGCGTTATTGAGCACGATTGTCTTCGAATTATATCGCTTTCGTCTGCTGCTTCACTTTCAACTTACTTGTTTCCTCCACAGTATACTTAAAGCTAAATAATTCTACCAACACACTGCGCTGCAGAACAAAACGAAGATGGAGCAGTGACAACCGCACCACTTAGGGTTTTGTCCCAGTTTTTTTTTTGGACAACATTTTTGATACCCTGCCGTTATTTGTCAATGGACCATCGATAAAGCAGTGGCATGCTGGTGAGATTGGCTGCAAGGGTCGTTATTCATTCTAACTTTGCTAGGAAAGTATAATCAAAATGCATCTCCATATTACCGGTGTTCTAGTCACCTGAAACAGCATTCAGCATTTTGTCATAGCGTTAGTTGTCCAACGCCATCACGCCTTTAAAGTGGAGGCTTCCGGCCTTGTGTATGCCTTCACTCGCGGGAGAAAATTAAGCAGATCCTGAGGAAAGCATAGTACTCGCCTCAAGCCAGACACCATTCCCAGCTTTGGAGCAGCCTGCCCCAGACCTATTGCGAACGAATAAAAAAAAAACAGACGTCGATCCACGGTTTGTTAGATTCACAAGTGTTCGTATTATATTGCCCGATGATCTTCGGTTTTGGTGCCAGCGTTACGTGGTCGTGGCCGCCTGTTCGAAATGTAACATTGCCTGGTGCCCGATGGATTGACGGTGTTCGTGTGACGTGTGCAGCTTGCTGACTGCTGATTAGTTGGCTGATTGCTGATTAGATAGTTAGCGCTAGCTTTCTTGCTGATTTTCAGACGTTGCTTTCGCCTGTAAACGATATGTGATTTAGTTCGAATTTTCGCTCGCACCGGACGGAGGGATCTGACACGAGCTCTGGTAAACGTTCCGATATCGACGAGTTTGCGGTTTTCGCTCGAGGGCACGTGGCTCACCCCAACCAGTGACGCACGTCTGCGCCGATACGATTGGTCGTGCTCTTCTTAGCCCGACATCGTGCTACTACGACCTTTAGCTACAACGATGCGTACCCGGTTTGGATTCTTTGGCCGTTTCGAGCCTTGTGGATTTTATGGTTGTGTCATGACTGACGCACGCTCATACGTGCCATCTATACTTCCGAAACTCGACTCCCCCAAATATACCCAGGTCGAGTTTCGCAAAAACTGCACCTCGCAAGGTGGTGAAGACTGCGACAAGACTGCACCGTGCAGAGAAACATTCACCTCATGTACGTACAGACTATAATTAATGACTAGAAGTGCCATTAGCCTTGCAGTTAATAAGATAACAGACCATCATTATCGCTCAATCATATAGGTCGAGTCCAGAATCACCAAGCTGTGGAACAATCAGCCCACTTCATCCCTACCCAATACACGCCTATCTGTCTTGCTCCAGATTGGAAGGCACCGAAGCCCCAGCGCACTGCCAACGCTGCAGCCTGCGATCGATGATGGGGTACGGCTCGGCCCGCCCCCGGGGCTGACACCCCCCGGCCAGCCGACACCGGCGAGCGCGGCAGCCGGCGCCGGCGCCGGCGCCGTCGGTAGTCGCGCCCGGTTTCGTCATCGTGGATGGCTGCGCCATTGCACGGTGTGAGCGCTCGCCGATTGTTCCCATCCTGCCAGCCTCCGGCGCAGGTCCGCTCGCCGAGCACTCCCATCCCGCCAGCCTGCGGCGCTGGTCGTCCTGACGCGCAGCTGCATGTGGCGTAACACTCACACGGTTCTCAGAAGGTGCTCCAGGTCACCGGTATGAAAGGCAAACGACACGCGGTCTGGAACTGGCATGATGATTCAGCTAATGAGGGCTTTGTTTGAGTGCAATGCTTGCGTACTTCTGCCTCAGATTATGCTACGCGGTGTATTCATAGTTATCGAGAGTATGAACACAGCTGCGTTACCTAACATCAGACCTGCAGCTAATTGGAGAGGCGATCTCCCCAGTTCTCGAATATTGTTACAGGCGATGATTCGTTCTCAGCCATTTCCTTCAGCTCTCGCGCCAAGCGCCTTTAATCACGCGGCTTCCGATAACTCTGGATGTAACTGCGGCACTGAACCACGACCAGGCTTATTTCCGTCTGTCTGGGACTGTCGGCCTTGAATTTGGCGACAGCGGCATGCATCGCGGCCATTAATGTGATAATGACCGACTGGCCGGACTTCTATCTGGCGCGTCGGACACGGTGATCTAGTGAGCTGCTTTCCGGGCTGAGGTTCACCCCTGACCTCGTCTGCACTCAGGGCTGGCACTTGGATGGGCTTCCGTCGGGCCTGTCGTGGGCTGCGGTCTGGACTTAAGTGGATTGCGGTCTGGCCTGTTGTGGACTGCTGTACAGATTGCAGCCATAAACATTGCCCGGCCCTCCTCCTGCCCTAGAGTGCTGTCTGTTTTCTGGGCTGCAGCGTGGACCGCTGTTTGGTCGGCGACCGGGGCTGCTGTCTGGGCTGCAGCGTGGGCCGCTATCTGGGCTGTGACTGGGGCTGCTGTTTGGGCCGTGACTGTGGCTGCTGTCTGGGCTGTAGTGTGGACTGCTGTTTGGGCCGCGACCGGGGGTTGCTGTTTGGGCCGTGCCTGTGGCTGCTGTCTGGGTAGTGGCTGCTGTTGGCCGCGACCGGGGGTTGCTGTTTGGGCCGTGCCTGTGGCTGCTGTCTGGGCTGTAGTGTGGGCTGCTGTTTGGGCCGCGACCGGGGGGTGCTGTCTGGGCTGTAGTGTGGGCTGCTGTTTGGGCCGCGACCGGGGGGTGCTGTCTGGGCTGTAGTGTGGGCTGCTGTTTGGGCCGCGACCGGGGGCTGCTGTCTGGGCTGTAGTGTGGGCTGCTGTTTGGGCCGCGACCGGGGGTTGCTGTTTAGGCCGTGACCGGGGCTGCTGTCTGGGCCGTGACCGGGCTGCTGTCTGCGCTTTGACCGGAGTTGCTGTCTGGGCCGTCCGACCCGGGGCCGGCCGACTCTGCGCCAGCTGCTCCGCCTGGTCGACAATCAGCCTCCCCATCGCTGGAGCCATGCAGAGCCAGCGAACCATGTCGCGGCGACTTTCAGGCCCAGTAGGTCATCTTCAGCGTGACTTTTGTGTTCAGTGGGTTCCATCCTAAATCGGTCAGCGTATCTGGACCACAACAGCACGACATCATGGCCATAAATGACGGCCGAATTGTCTGGTCGTGCCTGGAGCTTAGACTGGACGTGCCCAACACACACGATATGGACATGGAATAACCGGACATACATTCTGAATGTTCCCAGGCCGCACGAGTTTTGTATCTAATCGTAACACTGTGATCCTTAAACATAATTTAACCGTAACAGCAGTGCTATAACCAAAAACGTGGGAACACGGTGGTCAAAACGGCGTGTATTCTGTCTGGCAGCCAAGAATGCGGGCCATCTCGGCATGGTGTTAATGATGCATTGGATCATTTACGGGGCAGCGGTCTGGCAGCTCATGGGCAGCGATCCGGCAGCGAGTGGGCCGCGGTCTGGCAGCGACTGAGCAGCGGTCTGTCAGCGAATGGGGAGCGGTCCGGCAGGGAATAGGCAGCGGTCCGTCAGCGAATGGACAGCGGTCCGTCAGCGAATGGACAGTGGTCCGGCAGCGAATAGGCAGCGGTCCGGCAGCGAATAGGCAGCGGTCCGGCAGCGAATAGGCAGTGGTCCGGCAGCGAATAGGCAGCGGTCTGGCAGCGAGTGGGCAGCGGTCCGGTAGCGAATGGGCTGCGGTCCGTGCCGTTCGATGGCGACCGCCATGCGTAAAAACAATGTCATGGCCATTGGGCCCCCGCAAAAGTATGCATCGACCACTCACACAGCTAATGTTACATCGCGCGACATCGACGGGCATAACATAGCACATGCTGCAAACGTAGTTGGCCATCGTGGTCAGAGAGACAAGTAGATACGAGTGGGAAAAAACATTCATCGCTGTTCATTTTTGGTTGATCGACAGAAATACATATGATGGTGACAATGTGTGATGTCATTGCAATAAAGCATTTAAATGATGCAGAAAAATACACCTGGCACGGCTGGAAATTACTGCTATCCTACGAATCAAGCGTTAGATCCGCATGGTAATGGCTCCAAAATTTGTTTGCTAATACCGTCGGAGTTTAACGGCGTAATCCTGCGAACGGGGTTAAATGTCAACGGCGCGGCTCCGTCTTCCTGCCTGACGTTCAGTCCACACGTAGCACCCGCCTGTTGCGCAGCTCAAGCGCGCACCGTGCATGCACTGGCTGATTTGTCTGAGCCCCCCTCCCCCCCCCCCCCCCACCCCCTCTGGAGCAGCTGCACGCGTTCGGGTTAAGCCTGGGGTCCCCTCGCACGCGATAGCACGGTGCGCACCGCCTCGACCGTCGGCCCCAGGAGGGTACGCGCACGTCCTGACAGCATGACCGCCGCTACCGCCGTCTGCCCCAGGGGCGGACAAGGTCACACCGGAAGCGCAGCACACCCAGCCTGCCGGCCGACGCCGCGGCCCGACCCGTGACGTCACGGCGGCGCCGACGGTCAGCGGCGGGAGAGCTAGTCTACAAATACGGCGGCGGAGCGCCGGTCGGCAGCACTCGGGCCGGCAGAACGGAGCGCGCCGCCAGAGCTTCGAGACACGCGTCCTTCGTCAGCCAGCCATGAGGTCCCTCGCGGCGGCACTGGCCCTGTTGGCCCTGGTGCACCACGGTACGTCTCCCGCCCAACGGCGGCGTCGCGAACGCCACGTGATCACTGCGCCTGTTGAGAACTGTTGTTGGTTGGTGGTCAAGGTCTGATCTCCGTTAACGGGCTTGATTTCCGCTGTCGCTGCTTTTTGTATCGCTTGGCGTGTGCATTTCACATGCGTGTTGAATTCGCAGCGCCAAACTGCAGTCGCTATTACGTGTTATCGTTCGTCGAAGGTCGATGCTGAGGAACTCATATTAGTTGTGTGATCGGCCAATGCAAATTGCCAACGTTCTCGGAGAATGAAACGCCATTATTTTGTTTGAGCACAGGCCATTTGCTATCAAACAGCTCAGACCGTTACCGGCTCACTGCCGGCCCGGCGGCCTGCCCCAGACGCAATGCGTCGGCGCCGTGCTGAAACGGCCGGAACCATCGGCTGTCAGACAGAGCTCACATCAGGCCTTGACTGCAGAGTTTGCGTGTTTTGTTGATGGCTACTCCGACTGAGAGGGAATGCTTATGAAACGGCTGTGCTGTTATTTGACTATGAAGCTAAGGATAAGCACGTGAAGCACATTGTGCGTGATGCTATTTCAGATAAGTTCCAAATAACTCGTTTTCAGATAAAAAACGCATTCGTCAACATGTTAGCTCCCTCCCCCGCCGTCAAAACCCACCCAAAGTCTGTGTTTTTTTTCGTATAATCGCTTATCCATGCACGTTTCATGGAGAACATGCGTATCTTGCTGTTAGTAGACTTCCGCGAGATGAACACACAGGCTGCCAATGCAGAGACGTGTGTTTCTAAAACGTGCAAGCAGCCACCATATAGCCGGGAATCGCTCCGTCACTAAGAAACTGCATATGCTATCATTTGAGGTGATATATTGAGTTATGCCTTGTTCTAGCCGTAGGCTGCGACGATTGCTCTGCTTTTATCATATATTGACTGAGTGGTTCGCTTTCTTTGGTAATTCTTGAATTTTTCTGCACTTTTAAAACTACCATGCACCTGCAAAGTGCGTCATCGACATCGGCAACGGAATGCTCTGCATCACAACGAGCACCGAAAGCCGCATTGTGGTACATAAATGGGTTGTAATTTACCCCTTTATCCAAAAGTTCTTGCCAGATGCTCTTCTGTCCAGCCTTGCAATGTATTCCAGGTCCCACTACGCACCGTCTCTCTCGCTCTCTACTAAAATGTGTCTGTACAGCTCATCACCTGTCATCTGCAGCGTTCCTCCCTCCCCCCCCCCCCCCCGCCCGTCCCCCAACACTTTTCGCGGCTTGGAGCGCTCCGCCCTCTTTTACGCCGAGAAGAACTCCCCTGCGCCTGGCCGTCGAGCTGTGGCTGTGGCTTACTGCCAACTCGGGATACCGCCGCCCGGCCGGGACACCGCCGCCCGGCCGGGACGCCCCGGCCCGGGAGTGACCCGGTCCACGGGCGCGCAGTCGCCGCTCGGCCGCCGTCTAAAGGGTGGCGGTGCGGATCGGGGCCAGTCAAGCGGTGAAAGCGAGGTGCGCGTCTCGAGCGCGGCCGTCGCCCCGGCAGTTCTGGGTTTCCGGGTCAGCCGGGTATCGCGCCCGATCGCCGATTCGCGGCGCCCCGCCGTGTTTCCGCCTCCGCCGCCCCGACGGCGCCGGAGGGGCAGAGGACACCGGCGGAGGACACCGGCGGAGGACAGCGGCGGCGAAATGCGGGCCTGCCAGTGGCCAAGGGTGTAAGGGGTTGCACCAGGGAGCCGGTCTTGGTCCAGCTGCTTGGCGTTCCAGAAACTCGTTTCCTGACTCGTGGAAATGGGTGGATTGTTGCCGCTGCCCCTGTAGGGCTTTTTATGAATGCTGTCAAGTGTAGTTGTAACTGTTGCGAGCCAACCTCAGAGACAGGCTCGCACTGAGAACCCTAGAGCTCTTGCTGCTGTTTCACTGGCACAGTTTTGCCATTGCAATTCAGTAAGACATGATTGAATAGCGGCTAAGATGGGCGCAGTCTTTGATTCACTTTGTTTTGTTCTGATCCATGAGCGGAGGCGCTGCATACATGTCTAGAAAACACGGGCGTCCGGAGCTCGCCGCTCATGGTCACGACCCGCTAACATCGCGTGCAGCGAACCACAGCCGGACGCGTCTGCTTCAGCTGACATCGCGCGAATCTAACCGCCGGCAGCGGAGACGTGATTGACGGCACAGAGCCCGGCCGCGCGGCCGGGCCTTGTGCTGTCCAGCACCCGTCCGCCCACACGCCTCGCCTTCCCGCCGCGGCGGCGCGCGCCGGCTCCACCTGCCCGCCCCGACGTCCGTATGACCCGTGTGACCCGTGTGACCTGTTATAGGCGCATGCCAGGGCCGCTCGGAGAACCCGTGCAAACGGCGCGGCGGCACCAGCGCGCACGAACAGTACTGTGACAAATTCTACGAGTGTGTCGGCAACGACGAGGTGCTGGTGCGCGACTGTCCCAACGGGCTGGTGTACGCCGGCCGGCAGGCCCAGGTGGACGTGTGCGGCTACGAGCACGAGTACCCGTGCGACGTCGCCCAGTTGCGCAGTGAGTGGGCCCTGGTGTCGGGACGCACGACTCGGCGGCGGACGGGCGACGGCGGGGTAGAGCGCGGCATGTCGGTGGCAGCCCCGGTGACGGTGACCCGGCTCTGACCCCGGCTGGCCCGCAGGCGGAGGCCAGCGGTCCCGCGGCCCGGCCGACGCCGGCGTCCAGCTGGATCCGTGCCGGGAGGAGGGCGCGGTTGCGCCGCACAGGGACTACTGTGACCGATACCTAGAGTGCGTCGGGGGCCAGGCCTATGAAGTGGACTGCCCGAACGGGCTGGTCTTCGCCAGGCGTGGTGCTCTGATCGATCACTGTGGCTACCCGTATCAGAGCCCGTATGCATGTTTGAACAAGCAGCTGGCAAGTGAGTATACGGCGCGTTGATGCTACGGTCACACTCGCGGCAGGACTGATGGGCCCATGTAGACCCAGTTCCGTAAGTAGCCATGCATTCGTTACTCGATTACACCTGGCCCCCCGCTGAAATTTAAGAAATCTGTCGGTCTGCTTTTTGCTGTTGTCAACTTTCGCCACTTTTGTTGTCAACTTTCGCCACCGCATTACGTGTGGCGCCGAGAACATGCAAGTCGCGTCGTCGCGACATCGCTGCTCTTCATTGTTCTCAACATATTGTTCCATGGCGCTCATGCCACTCACTTCCTGCCTGTTGTAGAGCAGAGGCGTTGTCAGTTTTTTCCCTGACTCTGATAATCAAAGCTTCTCGCGTTCCGTCCCTAGTTTGAGTCGTTTTTAATTCGGACGTTCAGGGCCCAGGTTACCCGGACAAAGGTAAGCAATGTCTTGCCCAGCATTATCTCCACTCCATCTATGGTGAAGGCAGTGGTGGTGGAACATCATGCTTGGATCGGCACTCAGTTGCTCTTGGCAAGGAAACGGAAGGTGAAAAACTCTTTGTGGTGGATTTCACACTTCTATGAACAATGGCGCTGCGGTTAACAATGCAAACACTAATGATGCTGGACGCGCATATGCCTGAAATGTCTGTTAAGGTGCAGAGTAGGCATTGCGATTTCATTGACAGTAGCGTTTTCCCTTCACTTTATGGCATGTCGAAATTATAGCAATCGTAAATCGTATATCATTCAATAATTATCAGTGAACTCTCAGCTATGCTATTAGAAAAGCTCTCAGATCACTTTGCCGTAACCGTTTCCAAATCAGTATCAAACACCAATGCTAACATGTTCACCCTGCTCATTATCGGTGCATGTGCTGCTTATCGACACCAGTCGCTGTAGCTGGCTCCCCCACGCTCCGCAGACGCGCCCATTCCGACCGAGCACTGTGACTGGCTGTACGGCATCTTCGGCCACGAGACCTCCTGCACGCGCTACTGGACCTGCTGGAACGGCACCTCCGTCGAGCAGTTCTGCATCGGCGGCCTGCTCTACAACGAAAAGACACACGCCTGCGACTGGCCCGAGTTCGTGGCTGACTGTCAGAAGCACCGTGAGTGAAGTAACGACACGCCTGCGGCTGCCCGACGTACTGCAGCCTGGTCCACTGGCCCTCGGCTCCGCCGTTGCGGACTGGCAGAAACTCTGCTGGTGGACACTCACTGCAGGGGCAGTGTTCTGAGGTCTCCTCCATCATCTTGTTACCCAGGACATACCGTGTAACTGCGCCTGATAGCATGTCAGTGTTTGTCTCACACTACAGCAGCTCACCTAAGAAATGGCATCTGGAAGACGATCAATTGTTTGTGACGTCATTTATTTTTCGCATTCATACTCTCCAGGGAAAGCTACCGCGATAAAAATCAAAGCATGTTGTGATTTTTACGCGTCATCCCATACCATGTTTGATCATCCATCAGCGCGTGAGGGCAAACGCTCCGCTCCCCTTCAAACCCTCGCCCGCGCCCGTCGCCTGACTCTGCTGACCATCCCCAGCGCTGTGCGCCGAGGATGCCAACGGTAACGTGCCGCTGGGCAAGTCTTGCGAGCGTTACTGGAGCTGCCAGGGCGGCTACCCGCGGCTTATGCGCTGTCCGGCCACGCTCGTTTTCGACAAGATCTCGCGCCGCTGCGTGCACCCTCCGACGGACGACTGCGACATTCCGCCGACCGAGGCTCCCGAGCCGGCCGACGAGCAGCGGCCGCAGCAGGGCGGCCAGCAGCGGCAGCAGTTCGTGAGCGGCAACCGCGGCCGGCGCCCGGTCGGGCAGCCGCGACCAGACCCGGCGCCGCAGCAGCTCGACGTCGAGGAGGACATCGAGTACATATACGAGGACGAGGAGCCGTTCGAGCCGGGCTTCTCGTCGGCGCCGGCGCAGGATCCGGCGCCGCCGAGCCGCATCGGCAGCCGGCAGCCGCCGGCGCGAGCCAGCTTCCGTCGGCCGAGCGGCGCCGGCGGCGGCGGCCGCCCGCCGCTCCGGGGGCCCGCCATTCCGGCCGGCGCCACGCTCGTCAACTGAGCGCCATCGCCGCCTGCTTGTCTAGTCTGCGCTCCGGCGTCGGCACCGACGCCATCTCACGCTCCGACTCCGTCTCTTCACCTGGCAGCTGGCACCACGCAGCTCTGTCGCGGGCAGCTGATCTGCTCGCCGGCGTCTCCCTCCCAGCTCTTTTTGTCTTCTCTCTTTTGCTGTCACCCCGTTGTCCGCATATATCTCAGTGATTGCTGGGTGGTTTTATGTACATTGGTCAGCACTCGAAACTGGGTGCTTCGAGTGCTCAGCACGGCTGAACCTGGAGCGTGGGCTCGATTGTTGAGATTTTGTGTTTCAGTTGTTTTCTACAAGAGATAGTAATGGGTACCGTCGCAAATACACATACGGATACAGCGAATGTGTCTTTAATAAACGTGAAGGTTCAGAGGAGATAGACCAATTCAATTCATGGTATCATTTGGCGCCAAGGCTTTGGCGCCAAGTTGAAGCGGATATAGGCTTCTGACAATCCTCTGATTCAATAATCTCGTACAAATAACCACACAACGTCTGCGAACTGCCCGTCACTCAGATACCAGGTCCAAAAGCTTTTCAAAACATACTTTCTTATTGCGGTTAGCAGGAAGTGCCGGATCCGAGCGAGGGGTGTTGAATTCCTTGGCGTAGGAAAAGCAGGACCCGCAGCAGCACTGCGAAGGCCGGAGCAGCCTTTCACTGACAGCGCCGGCCATAACAAAAACACGTTAAGCCCGCGTCCAATTACCGGTCGCTGCCGCGCTACGTTCCGGGTTCACCGTCTATACACTGGCTGATCTGCACTACTTTCTACGCGATCTGGGGTGCCCTGCCGGCGCCCTATCTCCTGATCGGAGGGACCAGTGCGCGGTGAAGGGGGCTGGTCGGCGGTGAAAGTGAGCGTGCCGGAGCCCTGCGTGCAAACAAGCGGTTGCCCAAGCCCCCAGAGACGCGGACGGCTTCCCTAAGTGCTCCCAGTCAGGATGGCTCGTAGCCTGCACACTGTTTAATGGGCATGGCAGTGGGAGCTGCTGCACTGAGCTGGAGACGAGCGCGGCTAGACCACCGCTCGCGGAGTGAGCGGAGGCTCAGAGGCTGCCCCGACCGATTTCAATAACAACTTTTGAGCCACTGAGCGCATCTTGTTAAAATTATCGAAAGCTAAGATGTCAGCGTTTTTACGCCAGTGAAACGGTATCGACTTTATCGTAGGTAGGTCGTGATTCATGGCAGGGAATGCATTGCATGGGGGATGTTGGATGTATTTCGCGTGATAGGCGCCCAACAAACCAACAGTCTTCGGCAAAAATACCTTATTATGCGTTCCTAGCATTGACGTTCAGTAAATTATCATTTTCAATGCAAGTGTGACTTCGCAAAGGGTGGTTAGGTCAGATCTTCTTAGGCAAATCTTGCTTAAATGTATGAATAATTTAGAATATCAGCAGGATAATTCTTAAGCTTTCGTGATCTCATTTCATCCAAGACACCATTAATCTATATTTGATGCAGGTCGACGCACGCTATCTAGTGCCTGGAGTCGCCGCGTTTTTCTTAATTCTTGAGATAATAGGGAGGTACATCTGCAAAGCTCGGGCTATATATGACCGTATATTTACATATGCTATGGTCAAAGAAGGCTTAGCTGCTGTTTTTTTAAGCCAAGAGTTCTTATGCCAAAAATAACCGACTTCCAATGTCCATACAACATGGTGCGAAATCGATCAAAAAGCAATTTCCAGCAGTGATGAGGACCTTTTGCGAGAATGCTCGAAGTCCAATGCAATCTCTCACGCATATGTTCTCTGTCTACAATGATGATAATGCCCGCTCACACAACACACGAGGAATTTACGAGGGATTTATTGAGCCCACGCGTGCAAGAATATTCCATACTATCCGCCGTATCAACATTATTTCGACAGACATAGCGTAAGTGCCTATGACCTCGTTTGACCTCGCACAGGTCTTTCCCATAGTTTTCAGACAGTATTCCTCTGAAACAGTGCGTCACATGGCGCCACGTGACGCCTATCGCGTCGTTGTAACGTGGGCGGTTATGACGCAGCGGGGCGAGCAAATATTTTGCTGATGAAATATTTTGCCCTAACCAGCCTTGAGGTCCTTAAATTAAAATCTTTAGCATCCAAATTATTTTCCGCGGAATATTGCCAGAAATTGAAATGTAGCTTCGCCCATTATGCGGGCACAAATGCCTGCCTTGTATTGTTGGCATCAAAAGAAGGCGTATGTAACCTAAAGAGCCTAGCTTCTCTTCAGAAATCACAAACTGACCCGCAAAAGAGACAAACATTGTTGGATTGCTGAGACGGTGGACAATGCCTCGGCCGGTTCCTCGTCATCCCGCCTTGTTCATGATGGAAGCTACCGCTAGTGGGGCCGTATATCACGCTCTCTAATGGACATGTCAGCCATGTTAATGCTTCCCTGACCTGAGAGGTCACTCATTTGACCTAGACCCAAAGGTCACAGCATTTCCCGAGCCAAAAGACAGCAAACAGCACACTGGGGCTTACGGAATTCCTTCTTGCTTTTAACTTTGGGAATGGAGACCAGTGGACTACTAACGGAATAGGGTCACCAGAGCAGCAATCCCCGAATATGAATTCACCGATCTACCGCACCTCATGAACATTCCGAAATCGGGGCTTTCACATCCTAGCGCCCATCACGGTACTGCTAGGGGCTGCCCGACGCACGGACGGTTTTCTCTGGCCCGTACAAAATGTCAGGGTCATAATAAAAATGTAAGTGGGCTCGATGTGCACCATACTGAATAGACAAACAATGTTGAACGTGCATAACCTAAACAATGTTTCTCAAACCAGATCTCATAATTACGTTTGTGTGTTCAAACTTGCTCAACTATGTTCAACATTTGCCGCCTCCGTGGTCTTGGGGAAAGATGCTGGACTCGTAATCCAGCGGCACTGGGTACGAGTCCCAGAGTGGGCGCATTGTTTGACACGACTGAAATGAAAAGGCCAGCTGGCAACTGGCCGACGAGGTTCAACCCAGACCCGAGGTTTCGGGTCTGGGTTGGCCGTGTCGCAGCATTGTGCGGCGCGTAAATCCATCCGCATTCATGTCTGGCGAAAGGGCGGAGGCAAAATTAGCTGTTGAACTGGACGGCACGCTTGGGTGGTGGGTTTGGGGTACACGCAACAAGCTATGCTCAGCAGGTACTCTGAATCCGAAGTCACCTATACAAACCATTCGGAATAAGTTTATAAATTAAAAAACCTTGAACGAAGGCTACAAATGTGCAGCGAATGGCTCGTGTTATCTTGAGCAGTTGCTAAAATGCCTATTTTGATGTTGGTATTTGTTGCGCGGTGCTCTGTTGCTGTTTGTCGGCCTACAATGCGCTCCCATAGTGGTTCGTACGTTCTCCATAAACTTATGTCTCCAAGATGTTCTTACCTGCCATGAACGCCTTGCTTTGTTTCTCCCACACAAAATATCCCTGAGTAGAGGTCACAAGAGATGTTATAAACTGCGTTGCTCCGCGTACATTCCCCTTTTAGTTCAGTAATCCACGTATGGCAAACGCTGCTCCCAGTCGGACACGTTGGGGTCCCTGTCGCTGATAGCACTAGTGTGGACTTGCTGAACTAGTTGAGGCCACTTATCTGTGCTTCCCTAAAGCAGTGTAAATCGCTCGATCATGCGGTGACATTGACCTGTTTGCAAAACTCATCGTCGATGAAAGGGAGTTTCACGTAGGCCTACGCAGTTTCGTGTATGCACAAGTCGTTTTCTTTGTCGTTTTACAACTTCTTTCCGAGCCTGATGTAAGCCATTGTAGACGGAGTGGGAAGGTCGATTCTGTCCCCTCAGGTTTTTTTGATGATTTCTCCAGAACGCTTTGGCCGGGGTAGTTGGCAGTTTTGACATGTCCAAAATAGCCTTTCCACACGTGAAACATTTTTTTGGCACATGACATAGGCAGGGACGGTTCCAAGACGAGGTTGGCTATCATGCCAATATGGCAGTCTTCCCGGAATTGTTCGCATTACATTATGTTTACAGGATAACACGATCGTTCTAGTGAATGAGACGGCTGCAACGCAAGCATGGTTATTGGCATAAGCAAGCAGACGCACGGCAGAGGCGGTCTCAGTCTTAAAAAATGGAACGTTTTTAAACATTGTAACACGCATCACGAATCACCAACGCGGTTTTCTTCTTTGTGTAAGGGATGCTTTTCGGCGGACAACTTAGAAAGATATTTACGGATGTAAAGCTGTAGGAGGGAAAAAACTCTTGCGCAGACGCGACTCCAGAGATGGGAATGGGAGAGGAGAGTTCACATGATCTGCCACACGGAGGACTAAAATGTGATGCTGCATTCCATCCGTCACTTCTGTGTAATCGGGGGTCGGGGGGGGGGGGGAGCGGATTCCATCCCCGGTTGTGCCATAGCCTCCCATCACCTATTTGACCTCTGCAGTCGCTGGCGCTTTATGAAAGTATGCGTGGCGACATGTGCGGCGTTCCCTCTTTTATTAGACGCCTGTGCAATAAACGGCAAGTTAAAAACTGTGACAAAAGCCAGCCTAGTGATGGCAAGGGGAGTTTAGGTGAATTGCAGTAGACAGGGGCCGTGACCACCAACAGCGAACTGTCCGCTGACGGCAGCGTCCATCCACCACACTCCAATCACGGGAACCTCTTCCCTTCCTTTGGAAATCAGGAGGCACCTATGACATGTATCCATACCGACAGTATGGGCAGCATACTTCACTTACAGCGTTTACCAGTAATGTAGCCGATACTGATATCTACTACTCATTTGCCATTCCATTTTGGCCACCCCAAAGGGGAAACTGGCAGCGCCCATCAAACCTTTTTTGACTAATACCGCCTTTTCTTATTATAGGGTAACGCACCGCCCATCTGTTCCCAGTGCACTCTATAAAAACCCCAGTTTTGACCATGTTTGTTGACACACTCTCTCACATCAACAAAATCTACAGCTATTAAATATCTTAGATACGTTCAAGAATTTTCCAATTTATGATTTAAATTTCGTTATAGATAGCAATTTAGAAGTAATCATCCATCAATTTGCGTTGGCCTGCTCTGGCATCAGATGACAAGCGGGGTCAAAAGGGCCTCCAATTTCGTTTCGCCGCCTATTGACCCATTTTGCAGCTTCTTGATTTTTTGCCACTGCATATCTCGCCATAAGAAATTAGATGCTTTCAGGTCTTCAAAACCAGCTCAGTAGCTCCAGAAACCCCAGCGGAACGGAGATCGAAGGGATCGAAATGTCCCTCGCCCAAGAAAGAGGCATTTGGAAGACCGCTCGGAAAAAGGCTTAATCGTGCATGACGTTGCATGAGATTTCAACGACTTGAAAACATGCGCATAGTTTGGCGACACCAACGCAGTAAACTCAGACTCAGATCTCTCTCGGATTATCTCTCACTAACACCTGAAAGCTCCAAAAAAGCAAATAGAAATGCGCTTAACAGATTTAAAGGTCCGATACATGGTTGGAATTACCGCAGTGCTGGCTGTGGGATGATGCTGGGTCCCATTTTCGTTATGCATTCCGCCTGCTTCCAACGAAGCACGTCAGTGAGACATTACTGACGACGTTCTTGCATGCTTGCCCTGGACGTAATAAGCCGATAGGGATGATCGCAACAATTTGTTTGAGGTCACCCTAGGCCGGTACGTCTGATAAGCTCTGAGATGCCATGGGAGGGGGAGGGGAAGGGAGATGGAAGAGCCCATACAAACACTTGTTTGGGAGCCGCGCAAGAATTTACGGAGGTGCAGGATGTCATATGAGTATCTTAACCTCCGTTAAAATCTCCTCCGTGTAATTTTAACGCCCCAGGTTATTCATTTTCAGAATTTGACCTTCTGACGTTGTGATATTTGTGAGTTTAATGCCAGGGGAGCACAGCTCGATGACCTATCCTCAGTGCGATAAGAACTGATTTGGCTTTAATGCCGTGTTTCTTGGGCCTTGTATACTGATGGCGCTGTTTGGTTGGTGGATGAGTGACCAATTAACGAATTCATTGCTCACTTACCCTGCAGAACATTTATGATTCCAATTGGTAATTTCTTTTCGGTCTCAGAAAGCCCTTGACAGCTTTGCATTTGCGGTTTACAGTGCAATGGCAATGCGTCCTGAATCACATACTACACCGATTTCATGATGATGTATTTACTCATTTCATGTCCCTAAAACAGCAGAAATTATTTAGAGTGGACCTGTCGTTGCAGGACAATGTAACTTACAGGTGCCTGAGTGTATAAAATACATTCACACTTGCGGAGAAATATCAACAGAACGCAAGCGGAGTAGGCTGACACAATAAACAGGACATATTATCTAACCTAATCAACCTCGTCAACTTTCTGAGAATCTATCGTAACCGACTAGTTCGGTGACTGATCAGGCAATGTCGAAAAGGTTTGCCGCGGTTAGTGAACGCGGCAAGATATGCAATAGCTACGCCTCTTAAAGAGAGATGTTATCGAGCATGGGGCGAGGAGGACGATTCACTGGATGAAGCTCTCCAGGTTGACATCGACGCGGCCGTCACCGTCCAGGTCTTTGAACTTCGACCTCAGTGGGTGGTCCTTGTAGTAATCCTCACTGAAAACGAAAACGTCAGTCTGTCACTTAAATGACAAATACGACACTTTGTTTAATGAACTCATATAATTGCAAGGCAAACCTGAAGACTTGGATGTGTCGCGACACTGTCGCGCCAGAACAAATCAAAAGTGACCGATAGGTGGCACCACTTAAACGCCACGAGTTTGATTAGGCCCTTTGATTGGTACAAGATGCACCAGACTGACCTACCACAGCCAAGTGCCGCGGACCGGCCGCAACAATTTACCTGACAAGCTCCAACTACACCCTCAGAAAAAATTAACCGCGACCTGCCATGCTTTCAACACGTGTGACATTTTGCAAGTCGGGACGTTCGAAGCTCTTTTAAACAAACTTCAGGTTTCGTTCGAACAGGCTCAGCCCCGACGACATTGGAAGAGGCTAGGGGATAGTTATTCGAGTTCCTCTCACAGCGCGCGCACTTAAGGCCCTCTGACGCACTCACCAGCCCGGCACGAACTCGGCCAGAGTGCAGGAGAGCCTCTGCTCGGAGAACACCTCGCCCAGGGGACAGTTCACACCCTGCGGCGTCACGCCATTCAGGCAGACGAAGAAGGCGCGGCAGTCCTGGCGGTCGTTGAAGCGCGGGTGCTGCTCACGAAGGCCGTTGGCGTTGACGAAGTCGCCCTCGGGACAGGTGAACTCTCCGATGGCTGTCGGAAGAATGAAGGCGGGCATTGTTCGCGTGGTTTCCGAGCATACCGAGCATGCCGACGCTCTCCGGTGCACGTGCAACCAGCCCACGCCGCATGGGATGAACTGTTTTGGCTAACGGGGACGAAGCCATAAAACAACCACCGGTCCAGTAGAGCAATCCCATTACCACGAACAAGTCTCGCCCGGAAGATCTGGGCGTATCATGCAATGCCGTGACGCCCCCTCCCCCGCCCCAACGGATGCTTCCCATGGCCAGTTGCCAGCTGGCCACCAACGTTGTCGCGCCGTTTGTGCCGCGGGCTCGCGTGCCCGCCACACGTTGTTCTGAGCAGCCGACGCTCTACCAACTAAGCTGCAGGAACGGCAACGGTCGAGCATTGTGTCGACCGTCAACACAACCGCGTATTAATACACACAGTGCTTGTAATGTCTGCAATGTAATAACTCAAATTTACGGGATAAGGCTCTGGAGTTACGCGCAGTTAGTTTGCTCAGACTGACAACGTGCAAACTTTCTATCAAACAGCTCAGCTACACCCCACATCACGATCGCCACCTCCCTAGACAGCCCTGACGGGCGCGGGGTGGCTGCGGGGTGTCTGGCCGAGGTCACGGCCGGCCTCGGCCCGCCGGCCCGCAGCCCGGCCGGCCGGCTCGCGCGCTCACCCTTCTTGGTGCCGCACAGGCCGCGGTTGGAGCTCTCGGGCCAGTCGCAGCCGTGGTTCGCGATGTTGTAGGTCAGGCCGGGCGCACACTCGGTCAGGCTCGGCACGTTGTCCTTGCACTGGTAGTAGTGGGTGCAGTCGTTGGGGTCCTCGTGCGGGAAGAAGCCGTTCTCTCGCTCGCAGGGTGCCGTGCCCAGCGGCTCACCTGCCGGCCAAAACACGCCGTTGAAGCGCAGCCGGATGCACGCAGGTTGGGTGAAGCGTGTCCGCGTGCAGGTGGTGCACGACTCAATCATGTCTGGGGCGCTGTAATCTTCTCCCATCTGGACGTTTTCTTAATTCTGCATCTGAACCGTGTACCGGAGTCCAGTTTTATGAAAACTATGGACATATTTTGTGCTAAATACGTAGCGACGTAAAACGTGATTCAGGGTGCTGGATCGTAAATCACTAACGCCTTAAAACCAAGACACAGCAAGCGCTCGAACTATTCTCCGTCACAAAAGCCATTTCGGGCAGCACCGTCCTCGAGAACCTGCTGGTCACCCTGGCTGCCGTGCCGGGGCCACGCCCACGGTGTCGACAGCGCGCCGGTGCCGCGGTGACCGGGAATGACGTCCAGATCGCGTGACTGGGCGCCGCGAAGCTCACGAGCTGGTGACAGGCACGTGGTCGCCACGGGACCGCTTGGTGCTGCCCATACCCTGGTCAGGTCTGCATTAGGTGCAGGCTCGAGCACAGCACAGTGGATGTTTTGTCACCTATCCGGGGCGACATCACGTGAGCCGCGTGGACGGTGAGGGAGTCCTGCCTGAGTGAGGGAGTCTTCCCTGAGCCGGTCCCCGGCAGCGCACCGATCCGGTGCGTCACCAGCACGGCTTCAGTGCCGAACAGTGCAACCTCGTCCCAAAAATTGGCGGGGGGGGGGGAGGAGAACATCATGAGCCTGACGGGACCATGCGGACCAATATTGTGCTTTGAACGGGGAGACGTAAAAACCGCATCCTTTTACGACGATGATTCGGGACAAAAGGGCATTTTTGCAACATTTGACGCGCCGTGTTTCCGGTCAGCTCCTGATAGCCACAGCCAGCGCCAGCACTTACCGAGCGACTTGCCGGCGCAGCCAGCCCTCCAGAAGTAGACGCAAGGGTTGGAGCTGCGTCGGGCGCTCGCGCTGAACGCCAGCCCGTCCGGGCAGTAGACGGCGTTGGCCTGGCCCCGCTCGCAGTTCCAGTACTTGTCACATTCGTCCGGATCGGCGAAGTAGCCGGTGTTCTCGTCTTTGGGGCAGGTGAAGCTGTTGGCGGCCAGCGCCGCTGAGAACACGAGACACGGGCGGCGTGAGAACGCAAAAAATGAAAAAGGAGAAACAGGACAAGGAGAGAAGGAAGAATATGTCACACGGAATGGGGAAGATGACGGGAAGGACGCAACTCCCTTTGTTTTGTGTTATGTAACATTGTGTGTACAGAAAACAGTGTCTTCATAATGTCCAATGGCCTCCCAACTAACTTTTGATCCGGCTCCTTTGAAGGCGAGGTATAGCGTAAATGGGCTTGAGGAAAATGCGGCAGGGAGCCAGGGTCCTCCACACATCGGATTTTCGAAATTCCACCTCAATGTAAATGCAACAGCCACAGAAGATAAAAGGCAGCGCGGATAAGGGCGGCACCTTAGACGGAAACGTATGTTTATCTTCCTAACAAATCGCAGTTAAAAAATTTCCTAAAGATCACATTTGTCGCAACTACTGACTCCCGCACGTCTGCAGGCAGCAAGTTCCATTCGCTAGATGCGCGAAACATGACCAGCCGGCGTCCAGCCGTGAGCTCCAGCTGCTCGACAGCAGGTGCTCGCGTGGCACGACGATCAAAAATTAATGACGATTTGAAGTTTTAAAGGAAGGCTGGGTACATATGAAAACAGCATGAAGAATACGCCATTGCAAGCTTACAAGAAAATGTGAGCGTTCCGTGCAAGTGATAAAAACGGACTGGTCTGCAGACCGGTTTAGACATTTTTGTAATTCCGGTACCTTCAATGATTCTGAACAACTGTGCTGTGAACAGGACATCGTGCATGTAAAGTATTGTTATACAGTGACGTTAATGTTTGTATGCGCGTTCGTGTCCCCAATTATACGCTTTGCAAATATTGAGGGATCTGGAAATATGTCACGCTGGCGCTTCGATAGCTCCCATAATTCCTGAACCGCGTGAATGAGTATGCGTCATATAGGCCAGCAACAGGTAATCCATCTGCATTGTCTTGTTTTCTCGGGTTTGTAATGCTGTGCATGTAACATGAACTTGACGAAAAAGAACGGAAACGAAGAGTCTGCGATTATCTGCTTGCGTTCAGAATCGTATGCACCAGCGTTGCTCCGTGAACGAACGAGACAACGGAGGGCTTGGGGGATCAGTCAGGGTCCAGGCTCAGCCAACTTTGGGCGACATCTAACAACGGGATTTTGAACCTGCATGAAAACAAACAAAACTGCTTGCGGACCACTTTCCTCATTCGATGTACATAGATTATGCAGGTCCCAAGCACGATCCCATGTGAGATGTAATGCAATGTGCTGTAATATGTGTAAAGCAAGGCAGCTGGAAGGTTATCTGCCCGGCTCTAACTGTTGCTAGCACCAGAATTTCATACTAGGTATTATGATACAACTACAGCGCGTTCCTATTTCAAAATCCAGTTTACGCTACAATATTTAAAAGAGGACCAGATCACGCAGTAGGCACTGGAAGATGTAGATTTGCTATTTCAGAAGAGCAGGTCTGTCTAACATCGCCAGCCGGTGGCTGGATGTCTAAAGGAGTTTGGGCGTATTCATCGGCATACACGCGTCACAAGACCACCTTCCTTAGTTAAAGGAAACATCCGAATATAAATATAATACAAATAGAAGCATGTTTATATCAGAATTAAACAACACCAGAATTAAATAATAAGACAAAATTAATAAGAAATAATAAGAATCAGGAAGTTATTGAATAAGACCACGTTTCACATTCATATACTTTTGAGTAGAAAAGACTGCTCTGGACAACACAATTTCTCCGTTTAGTTAATTGTTTGTTATTGGGGCTTTACGACGCACTCAGCTGCTGAGGCCATATGGCGTCGCCTGCCTCTCACCCTGGCAGGAAGGGCGGGCACCGCGGGGAATCGAACCCCGTACCTCTGGTTTCCCAAACGCGCCGTGGTTAACGCAGACGCGTTAACCACGCAGACGCAGACGCAGCGCAGACGCGTTAACCACTACACTACCGGCACCCCCGTTTAGTAAATATGCTCCTCAACGCGTCATTGCTTGATTACGTCATCGTACGATGCACAATATTGATGAGACGCAATTGACGACCGTTACATCGGGAAGTCACGCCTTATGTGGACGAATAAACAATTGCATTTGCCTTGGCCTTGATCGCTGCATGACTTTTGGAACGGCAAGATTTGAACGACGCTATTATGGCGTCATGGATGCCTGGGTAACCTTGAAATAGCCTTCCTAAATAGTCTGCCACATCTCCGCGGGTGTGCAGCTCAGAAACTAGAGGGGGTTAGGTCTTAAAAAGGGCGCCACGCTGTTTATAGAAGTGGAAATGGAAATGCCATGCAATCTCATGGCGCTTCCTTGCGGCCGCAGGTGCACTATGGACCTGCCGAACGTGTTGTTTGAGCGTGGTGTGCTCCAGACAATGGCCAGGACGTGTGCGTAGTGACCTCATCGGGTCAGAACTTTTGCGTCGGTGTTCATGGCATAACCGTGAAAGTCAGTATCTTAATATTCACCCCTTTCAGCTATGGGCAAACATGTGCGCTGAAGGCTGGCATGGCGTGAATGGAAACTAGCATGAAGACATGTTTGGAGGAGGATTAATCTATTAAAGGTTGAAGTCAGCGATGGAGGTTGCATGCTTTTCCTCGGCATAATTCCGGTTCTTAAGTGCCGACCAATGCGCAACCCACCCAGTTAAGCTTGATATAGCAATTAGGACGTGCCTTGTTGTTCGATCACGTAAAATAAGTTATGCAGGAAAGAAATAAACAAAGACAGGCTACATTGATAGGTCCTGTAGGATTGAAAGTCCTGGTCTGTCTCGATGGCTCAATGGGTCACAGCGCCTGACTTCGGATTTACCCAACCGTAACGGGGTGAGCTCGAGTCGCTTTAGGCGCTTGCTATTTACCCTTGACAGACATGGCCTACGGCCGGTGGCAACAGCCGCGATAAAGGCTAGATGACGTCAGAGGGCAGGACGAACTATGCCGAACATTGCAGCACGTTAAGTTTTCGCCGCCAAAATATGCCGTTGGCATGGAATTGCGCGATCGGATGGTAGCGCCGGGACCCACACAACAAACACTGCTTAGCGTGAGCTCTGACACCCAAAAATACATCCCTTCATCCCTATTCAAAAGGTTCGGATCAAATCTTAAAAAGGCTGACTGAAACACAGCACGTTGGAGGCATATCAACATGCCCCATCAACTCCAGACTGCGCGCGTTTTCGACACAACCAAGCGTCCAAGTAGTTTCGGCTACCTCCAACGCCGATTCCGGCGGATCCGTAGCAGCAAATGCTCTGCAAAAATCATGCTGCAGCGCTAGCGACAAACAGAGCAACAGAGCGTCGGCCGCTGGACTCACCCGGGCACAGGAGCAGAGCGAGCAGGAGACGCATGGCGGCGGGCGGGTGCTGTGCTGCCGGGGCCGGGCTCTCGCGATCAGTGAGCCACTGGGCGGGCGCGGACCGAGGGCGCCGGCGTCGCCAGCCTTGGATCGGCGTCGGATAGGATGCCCCCTGACCTGCTGCCGCCCGGACCAACCGCAACCAGGGACAGACGAGCCCCAAGGACGCCCCTCCCAGGGGAGAGCAGACCTTGCGTGACAAGTGAAGGGCAGAGGCCCCCGGTCCGTACGCGCAGCGAAATGGCCGGCGTGGGACTGAAAAATGGCCCTGGCGCAACTGTCCGCTGGCAGCAGGTGTCATGTAGGCTGGCCTCACTTTGTCAGCAAGATTAAAGGGCTCTGAAAACGAGTCTGGCTCGTCGTCTCGAATTCTACACTGACGGATGTGCCATAATACAGCGGACCTTCTAACATAGGCGCTCCTGCCACATCAGTAGGCAGTTGACGGGAAACGAACATCTTTCCGCTCCGTTCGAGCGCATGGCGTGTCGAAACCCATCGCGTCTCACCCCGTACTAATCATCCGACGGTGGTTACGGTCTGCTCCCAAGACCTCCAGGAATGGAGGGTGAGACGGACAAGGTCAACCCGTCAGAAAATTAGTCCGGCATTGGGTGAGTCACATACCCTTTCTTCAGTTACAGGAAGTGAGTACTTCCTCTTCCACCCCTGTATCCAGTGATAGTGCTTCGCCAATTCTAACTGTAAACGCCACTTGGCGACCATGGATTTCACGGCAGCGATTTCACGAAAAGGTTTTGGTGGTCCTTAAAGTTATGTATGACATAGACCCGACGGAAATAAAACGACTCCAGCGACATGACTATACGGAATGTTTTGATGCGAGCCGTCACTTCAAATGGCCCAATGATGTCACCTATTTTTCTGGTGAGAAGGAAAACATCAGTGAGAATGGAAATAGTTCCAATCATAATTTTGTCATCTCAATGGGACATTAATGGGTCAACATTATTAAGCCTGTTACGAGTCGGATCAGATCCAGGTCAAATCCAGAGGTCAAACAAGGTTCAGTAGTGCTTCTGGAAGATGGATATTTTGCAACACCATTGACTTAGGATAACAGGATATACTAGGTCTCACGTGCGCGTGCTCCTGACAATTAAAATGTAATCGGAATAGGTAACCTTCATATCACAGGCAGGACATTCACTTGTCATGTTTGAATCTCACATCATTGCATTGGCGGAAAATACTGTTGACCTATAAGATGAACTAGCATGAGTTAAGTGTAACAAAGGTCGACTTCCTTTCACAACATGCAGTGTACTTAACGTTATAACGAGGACGCTGCAACTTATTCCTTAAACGTGGGAAAGCTCGACCACTGCCATGAGGGGTCATCGTACATCAAGGAACACCGAGGTAGCGAGTAGAACTCCTCATTCAGCACTTACAACAACGTGTTTAACGCCATGCCAACACGGCTCACATCTGCACCACTTATTCTGTTTCTTACTTCATCCTGCATCCTCGCGACACCCCGCTTAGTCCGGGGCAGGCTGCATGCGGCAGCCACGAGTAGGCCGAGAACCCCGTGAGAAGCGGGAACCCGACCGGGTACTCAACGCACATGCGCGGTTTAAATCTCGGCTGTTGGCCCCTCCAGACGTATGCAAGCCTACCCAATGTCAACCATTTTCCTTCATCCGATAGCCCTGAAATGGTCATTTCTGGTCGAAGGGCCTCATATCCAAACAACTAAACTAACACGGCGCACGACGAGGCGGTAAACCAAATTTTACACGGGAAAACTTTGGCGGCTCTGAACTAAACAAACGAAAGGCACTGGTTGCAACCACTTATACAGCACTTAACACGCGCCCGGGTGGCCGGCTCAATACCCTTCGCTCAGGTAGGGGTCAATCTGACTTCCTGAGATCTCAGGAACTAAGAGAGCTATAGATACTAAATTCGTAGGGCGTGTTGACCTGTACGTGAATTTATTAGGTCAGAGTGTAAAATTCCTAGGTCTAGACCTTCGGGTCCAATGAGGTCAAACAACGTCAAATTCCAGGCTGGTCTCCAAAGGGTCCCTAGAAACTAGATAGCTGTTCTAAGCAAAAGGTCACATGCTCATTTAAGGTCAATGGCCTTGCTTGGCATTTTGAAGGTGATGGTACACAAATTGTACAAGGCTGTTTTGATTTTTGCATTTGAATAAGAGCCAAAGATTACGCTAGGTAGCATATTTCTCAAAACAAAATGTTGACCTTGGGTCATTTTAGGTCAGTGACCTACTTTGACCTTAAAGGAATTCCTGGAAGGTGTATAATAAGGTTCCTGTTATAAGAAATACGAAATGTGCACCAAAAACTATCCCATACATCAGGCCCTAGAGTCAAAAAAGAGGTTGGTTTTGACCTCGGCCTTACCTTCATACCTGACTCTAGGTCAACGTTGTTTGTTCATTCAACTGTTGTGTTGCCTAAGAAAGTATCTCAGAGAAGCATGGCTTCATCTAGCACTCCGCTGTTTGATCAGATTGAACGGTTCCCTCAAAGTTGCCTTCGCTGAAACCATGGCCTGTCTTTGACCTGCCATAGGTCAGCGACCTTACAAGATGCACCAAAATTTTGATATCAGACAATCCACTTTTCAATTATCCACGTCTATGCAAAGTTTGGCGCGACTGCGCCGCGCCGTTCCGAAACCATTCCGGAAAACATTCGGGGGGTCAATTTGACCCCCAGCCGAGCGCGTGTTGAGGGAACCCGCAAGTTTCAAGCTGCTTTTGCATTTTGCTCGGAAGTTTTGCTAGGAAGATCAAACGGGGCCTGTTGGCCTTGTTGCTACCGCGCCACACATTCACGCAGTGAGACATGGGTTAACATACACAGCGATCTGGGGTGCTTGTTTGCTGTTCTATTTCGTCTGAAAACCTATCTGGTTGACCTATCTGGGACGATGTTTGAATGTTCGGATGTTTCCATCTGCTTACCTCACCCCTGAATTTGACATGCTGTGTGCGCCTCTGATCGGACCGAGCCCCGTCGGGCCCAGACCGCCTCCGGCTAACATCGGCGGTTGGCACCACGCCCTCCAATGGTGGCAAGGCCCTTCCACCTGGCGGTGGTGCGCCGGTCTACTGTTGCGACACGATCTAGTTCCGCTGACCCGTGACGTAACCACCCGAGGTGTCGTCACGCCGTTTCAGCGAGCCCGCACCGACTGCCGAGCCACCTGTGACAGGGCTGCACGGGAAAAAGCGGGAGAAAGGGAGGGAGGGGTGTAGAACAAGTGAGAGGGGGTGACAGCTTGAGGGGTGGATACAGGGCGCACAGCCAGGAAGTGGCAAATGTAACTGCTGCCTGCTGGTCCGTACCACTAGCAGCTCCCTGACTCTCTTAGCTAGGACGCAATTGACATCTGGGCTCTGACACATCTGTAAGTGGCTTCAGAGAGACACGATGCCTGCTGCCAGCCGCCGTATACTGTAACACGCAGTTGTCAGGGAAAGCAGCGTCTTTATGTTTGTATCGCTGTTTAAATTATTATTCTTGCATGCCGCGTGGCTCCAATCGCTCGCATTCAAGATCTTTTGACTTTTTGGTAACGCCGAAAATTGTCACATCAGTAATATATTTACCGTGAGAAACAGAGAAGCTACTAGCTTTGACCGTTGAACAAAGACGCCGCGCCCTGCATTGCTGAACTAGCACTCCCGTTTTACCCCCTGAGTGTTCAAAATGAGACGACGACAGCAAAAAGCGTAGTCTTGTTTTAAGCTGATGACATCATTACGTATAAGCCGGTCATTCTCGCTAGCCGAGGGCCAAACAAAATATACCGTAGAACGACATAGGTAAAATTTGTACATTAACACTTCCAAAAGTCAGATTTCTTTAATCTAAGTGAACCGCTACCCTCAGGTTTATGCTTATAGCGATCTTTTACCGATTCCTAGTTATATAGTTGTACCCATCGTTTACCCATCCGTTCGCAGTTTTCTGCCGCGTATTTATGAATTATGGACAAAGTCCGGAAAAGCTTGCACACAAGCTTACTATTCTGCGTTGATAAATATAGTATGTCTTGAAACATCTACGAGCCATTTCACAAGCTCACGTGTTAACCCGCACCAGTAATTTTCCTCAAATGGTGTCCACCCTAACTCTATGTCCATTCCATACGGGTACCCACGGATTTACGACTATCGTGGAGCCCCATAGCCGTAGATCACGTACGGGAATGCTGCCGAGCTTCCCATGTTTTTTTAAATTTCATCGAATCTGGAAAGGTTAGGGCAGCCGTCTCTCATCCGTGCAGAAGGTGTACCATCTCCGATGGTACCATCATCACCGAGGTACCATCAGAGTCGAAGTCGTTTGCCGTCCAGCACTAAAGCAGTACGGAGAGACCACGCCAAATGTCAGTAGTGCAGGCACAGTGCATGACTTTGAGGGAGTACTAAAGCTTAATGCTCAGTAGGACGTTGCTAGACCCTGAACAAGTTGACCGAAGTTCGTGAGCATTGTCCAAGACGAACCCTTAAAGGTGGTTATTGCTATTGTGGGGGGGGGGGGGGGGGGGGGGGCTATGGAGACATCAAGCGGCTTTATATGAGCTATCGTAAGGAACAGCAGACAGCAACGTAACTCACACTCAGTGTTATTTCGCATGTCCATAGTGGCCGCCATTATCGCACATTGACATCAGCCGTTACTATATGCGTTATCGAGACTTTCGGCTAGGAAAAGGAACGACCACTGATGTAACAATATGGAAGACCTCAGCAACCCCGAGGCGGGAGCTCACGTCATGGCACGCATACCCATGCCTCACAGGCCCCGCCTCAAAGACCATGTTCCACACGCTGTCTCCAAGCCGAGGTCCTCAAAGGAAAATATCCAAGTTCGTTCAAGACCATCCGGTATCTTAACATACATGAAAGTAGTCTGGGGAAAGTCATTCCGTGTAACAGTGGAGGGGTGAGATGCTTTGACTCACTTAAAGTGGACCACTTCAGGCGTTCAAATTACAGCGCCAGAGCAAGTCATTCATTTCGACATCTGAATGGCGTCCCGCGGAGAGCGGAAGCTGACGAA